ATATATATATATATATATATATATACAAACTGAAGATGATTCTTTATTTGTTCCACATACAACTGGGACGAAATTATAAAACAAGGTTCTCACATATCTTTGCTTTCTTGAAAATAAGTCAGGGTGAGGAAGTCTCTTGCTTTACAACGGAAATCATTTAACCGCAATCATGCTGAGATATTTGTATAACACCGGACAGTTGGTGTCTGCAATAGGGACCGAACCTGCTACTACTTTTTCCGGGACCTAACACGTTCACCGCCACAACATGCGAGTCCTTTGTTTCGCTTTTATTTTTTAGAAATCATCTATATTATTTGTTTATCTTACGAAGAAGACGATTGAAAAATTCAACGGACCTGTGCTCCACCACTTGGTTGGTGAACCATTATGCGTGAATTGGGTAACGCCGTACGCATTCCCTTCTCTCCTGCACATAACAGTAATGAACCCATGCTTGATGCCTTAAAAACTGCAGTCAACTTAGTACTTCTGGAATAAAGCTAAGGTTACAGCACTCGGCGTTGATCTAACCCTGAGGGATACCATGCATTCGACTTTATTAAGCATCGTTGGGTGGCCTACCGATGCATCGAGTCAGTGCTTCTATCGTCTCACACAGATTTGGTGCCAATATGCCGACCCCGGAAAGATTGATGGTTAGGTGTGCTTGTGCCGTGAGGACCATGTGCATTGCAGGGCGATTTCGACCACTGCCCTACCCGCATACAATATTTCTGAAATAGCTAGATTAAAATTGAACCTACCTGACCAACACACCAAGTTGCAACTGGAGCAGAGATCATTTGCATAGTATCGTAGATTGCAAGACCTGCAGTAACGCTCCCACCTAAAAGGACACATATATGTAAACAATAAGCAGTTAAATATTGGACATTTTGCAATAAGTACATACAAAACGGCACTTTTAACCGAGTGTGACCTGTCACGTATTTTGGTTTAAACTTAACGGAAATATCTACTAAGTGTGTTCATCATTCCGTTAGATAACGGCACACTACGGTGTGGTTCTTCTTTCGAAGTATTCTTGGATACATTCACTGATAAATGAGCAGAATAGATAGTACAATGAAACAACAGATGTTGTTATTGGATGAAAAATGCATGAGGATAACCACAATGATGCTAAGATATTTGCAAAACTCTAGACGGCAGGTGTATGCAGTGGGGTACGAACGCACTATTACCCATTCCGAGAGCTAACGCGTTCACCACCACACCATGCACGTTCTTTGTTTCACTTTTCTCTCAGCTAGTTTTCAATCTACTAGTACCATCAGCAATCACCTATCGACTGGATTGATCTGACTAGCCAAAATCGGCATTGAACGCGGTTAAGTTGAGACTACAGTTGAAATCACAGTGTTGGGTTTTTATCTACTGCCTACTACGATCTTCACAGTAGACTATTATGCGAAATCAAGCCGAATGATGCTGAAGTATTTGCCAAACTCAGGGCGGCAGGTGTCTACGGTGAGGACCGAGCACGATACTACCCTTTCCGGGGGCGAACGCGTTCATCATCACACCACGCGGAGCCTTCGCTTCGTTTGTCTCTCAACTATTTTTCTATCTACCGATGCCAAAACTGTAGTAGGTAGCAAGTAAAAAGTTAACACTGCATGAGTATAGTTCCCGTAAATCACTAATCACCAAAAAGGAGTATTCGTTGATCAACCAGAGCAATAAACTCCACAGATTTCGGCCTCATTACCTGTACCCCGCGTATAATTAGCTGAACAAAAAGATTCTGGACTACTTTACCTCATGAGAAAATAGATATAAAGAATTCGCACGAGTACACATAAACGTATGGGAACGTTCAAGAATGTTTCTCCTCAACCTTTAAGTTCAAATAGTCATATCTCAATCATATTCTCTTAGTTTGTTTAGCTTACTCGGTTACACAAGTTTTATCCGGCTAACATTGCGACGTTTTCATCTTTTTCAGAGCCGATGACTTGAGTCGATGGTCCACAATCATTCGTTCTTGCGTTGCCGGTTTTCATAGTCGTATTGAACCGAATCTTTTTAACTGGACAATCAACCGCTCGAAGACGAAAACATCGAAACATTAGCCGAATAAAAGTTGTATTACAGCCTCAGTGATGCCCTTTTATACACGATGCTGATGGTGGATATATAATGACAATGTCCGGTGGTAACAACTTGTACTGAGTGAGGATGCCTCATTCGAGAAGATGGCTCACTGAGGAAGATCTGGCTCGACACGAAGGCGAAGACGCAACGTCGAGGCGAACAACAAGCATGGACCATCGACTCGGAACACCGGCTCTGAAGAAGACGAAGACGTCGAAATGTTAGCCGAAAATAAATATATTTATCAACCTCGTGCAAGCTTATCAAGAAAGAATACATATTGATTAGTCACACCGAGGTTTAGGGAAGGTCGGTTTCGAAATATATGGAAATCGGTTCCAAACTTGTCTAGGATCATCTGGCTTTCTCTGATCCAAAAAGATGGCATTTACCAATGGGTGACCTGCGAACTACACGGTATTCACAAAAACAATACGGATCACTTTGATCCAACCAGGCTAAAATAAATAGAAATTAAGTATTGGAAAAGAAACTACAAGGCAAATAACTGCAAGTAGTAAATATTTGTTAAAATGTAGCTGCATAATTCACATCGATAGAATAAGCAGTTATTTCCAACCGACATTATGAGTATAGAAATCTGATGATTCTTCAGCAGTAAAAAATTTATTACATGACCTGGACCGAACCAGCAACAAAAAAAAAAGAGGTGGCTTCTAAACATCAATCTTTTCGTCATCACCAAAGAAAGACAAAAAGTGACATTACGCTTCCATGTGAATTCTGTGCGGTCGGTCTTCACGCGACATACTCAGTGGAAGACTCATAGAAAGCGGTGAGTGTGCAGAGCTATGCTAAATGTGATTGAAATCTTGGTTTAGCGTTTTCTCTGTTTGGTTATGGAGGTGTGTGGCCCAGTGGAATACTGTCAACTTGACCCTTCCAGGCTCTGAGGAAGGCGAAATCCGCCGAAACGTCAGCTTGTGCGTAAATAAAGAAATAAAATAGCACCTCGTGTTTGCTGAAGAGAAGTAGAAAGATATATATGCAATCAATGCCGAAGTTAATAGAAAGTCGGACTTGAGAGTTACTACAAAAAGTGAAGTTCCCAGATAAATTCGAAGGGCACTACGTTTAGTCGTAATATAAACTGTACAGCTTGAACAACCCCACCGTTGCGAGTCGTTAATATCATTCTTTCATAATCCGCCATGTGATATTTCGACCACATAAAATAAAGGATAAAGTTCTCGGCGTTGATCAATTCCTAAAGGATGCGCCAAACATTCGACTTCACTAAGCATCGTTGAGAATGACTGAATGCATATGTGGCCTTTACAATGACTCAAAGTGACATGCCGATATATCGAGCTAGTGTTGCTATGCTCGTAGACAAGTCTTGTATCAATTTGCCGAGCTCCAAGGAATGAAGGACTTAGTGAGCCGGAAGCGCGAAGATCGATCTCATGTGTATTGCAGGCCTCCGAACACCGCTACACGCGCCCTTTTCGACAAGATGCGAAAAGTTTTATTTCACACAGAGAGTGCTAGAATATTGTTTAAGTTTATGTGACATTCACATAAGAAAAGCGTTTGGTCTATCCTTCAAAGAACGGAGATGTATTCAAGCCCACTAAGCATAGCAAAGGTAAACAACAGCATATTTCATGAATCTAGTAACTTTCGGTGGTCAATCGATGTACTTGACCAATTTTTTTAAAAAGAACACTGAACTGAACGCCAACTATTTATTGAGGGCGTGATGTCCAGTAAGTCAGAAATCATACGAACAACGAAAAGCGGTATGACGTCGGAAGAAAGTTTACTGACCTGGGCTGTTTATGTAGATATGAATCGGTTTCTTGCTGCTCTCACTTTGAAGGAATAGCAATTGCGCGATCACAGACGACGCAACAAAGTCATCCACATGAAAACTATAAATTACGTTGAACTAAAACCTTAAACTCAGGATTCACCATTCATAATTACTGTACTCCTCTGTCATGATCTGTAACCCAATGATTGGTGGTGATATTCATTCATCGAACAAGATAGACAGGTGGTCCAACTCCAGTAAGGTCATTAAGGTCCACGAGTAAAACATTTCACGTTGAAACCGCGCAAGCCATTCAGAGCTTTGTTATCACTATGGAGATGGAGGTATAGAGCGTCGTACCAGAAATGTAACACTATGTCTCTCGACAGAACGTAGCCCACATTCTCTAACAGTTAAGAATAAAATCTAACGGTATTCTCTATAACCACCAGGTGATTAATTAGTGATAAAACTAACAATGGCACTCTACAACTTGAGAGTTCTTGGCGGTCACACAAGCACTATTCATAGTTCAATTAAACTGAGCCTAAGCCGAGATTGTATTCGAACATCTTTTCCTAAGCGTTCTAACATTTACTTACTGCCTATCCTCTTTTTTTTCATGCAGGGTATTATGTGAAGCACAACCATAAGAATGCTGAGATATGAGCAAAACTCATAACATTAAATGAGTTTCGAACTCGAGATTACCTTTTCCAGCGGCTCATTTAGCAACCACTGCACCAATCGAGGTTCTTGCTTTGTAATCTTCTCATCTAAATTCTTTTCCAAACTTCTATGACGGAAGTAATAGTCGGCTAATGTGGTCCCAATGCAATGACAAAATCCCGCAACCAAATATTTGAAGCCGGACATTCCAAAAACTAACAACTGCAATCTGCTACTCAGGATTCTAAAGTAATACTCACCGGTGTCATAAGACAAACTATACGATCTCTCAGCAATCGACTGTAGATATCATATGAGCGCTCGCCTCGTCCTTCACTTTCTATCACGAATGGAATTGCAGCCAAAGATGATGAGCCCGTAAAACCACAATGGATAGCCGCTACGCACTGTCGTAACCCAGAAAGCGCCCGCCGAAGAAGCATCTTCCAATAACCTACTACTATAACGTATATCAAGGAAACAGAAAGGTGAACCGAGTTCTATTATTTTTGTTCGTAGCAAAGTTTTCAATGTATATAAGGATGTACAACAATAAAACATGTGAGGATAAACTCCAAAGTTTGTTGGGAAATTTATAGTTATATTATTTATTTGAGCGATACAATGCCTAATACAAACTGACGACTAATGCCGTGTATCACAAGGAATGTCGAAGAGATTTTGTTTACAGAATTATAGCAACGACGACTTTTAAGTCATGAAAATAGACATCGGGCTTAGGAAAACAGGTACTGGAATCAACGGAAGTCATCTGGATTGAAAAGACCGCGAGCTCGATTGAGAATACTGTCCTATAAAAAAGTTTCTATTACACATATAAAGGACAAAAAAGATGGCTAAAAAGAATAAAGATAAAGATCTCAGCGTGGGTCGATCCCTGAGGGAGGCACCATGTGTTCACTTCATTAGCACCGTTAGAGACGATTACGTACATACGTATATAAAATACATATATATATATATATTCGATTAGATAAGTTTACATACACGTATGTACCTATAAATGAATAGTGCGTGTGTAGCGCATTGGTCAGAAGCGCCCTGCAATAACATGGGCTGGTCCCCACACCAGGCTCACCAGTACTGGCTTGATACATCGGTAAGCCACCACGAGTCATCGCAAAGGCCAGATATGCATTCAATCACCTCCAACGATGCTTAGTGAAGTCGAATGCATAGCTACCCCTCAGGGACTGATCAATATCGGGAGCATTTTCTACGTATTTACACATAAACTTATATACATAGACACGTTCATATATATATATATATATATATATATATATATATATATTTACGTATACATTTATCACGTACATATTAAATGTGAAATATATAAAATACCGCAGGAAGAATGCCTTGTTATCACTCTTTATCGCACACAATGTCTCAAACATATTTTAACGTGAGAGATGTATACCAGCCATCCAAGTGAACTCTGTTCACTTGAAATTTAAGTATCTTGTCTACTCTGAGGTTATGGAAGTCTTTGGCTGAACATCTCATAACTTGACCTTTCCAGACTCTGAAGACGGGAAGATCTGTCGAATGCGTCGAAACGTCATCCAGTAGTGCATCGAGGAATTTTTGCTTTTAAAATCCTCGGGTTTATTCAGGAATAAAACGTTGAATTGTATAAAATACCCTTATGTATTACATAAATACTTATGTATGTACATACAAAACAAAAAAGTGGTACGATTACCTTGCTTGGATCATAAGGAGCTTCCTTACTCGGAATTTCGAGCACAGCAGGTATCGATGCCGTGTGCTGATCGACCTAGGAACGATAAAATTACGATGAAAAGTTAAGGGAGAGAACTAGTAGACAGTTCACCTTTACAGCTCTGTCAGCTAAAATAAATAAAATTTCCCAGTGTACCACTTTGGAGACTATTTGTGCTTTACTCTAATGTCGAGCACACATCGACTTAATAGGAATTTCGTAAAGATATTTCTGCTCGGATCCGTTCTAGAAAGATAGACAGATAGTGTTCGACTGAGTAAAATAAGAGAATGAAGCATCTGGAGTTTCCAATTCCTTAAAGATGCGTCATGTACTCGATTCCATTAAGCAACACAGAGACTGACTTTCTCCCATAAAACTTATTGACCATAAAACTTCCCGATATTTTTTTCTTACAAAAGTACAGAACCGCTTCACAGATTTCTAACAATATAAAACTGAAGCAGAGCTCTTTCGTGGAGATGTTACTATGAAAAATATTTGCGGTTGTCATTCAATATGCAATATTTTGCGCGGGGGAGTGTCACCCACACGAGCGGGAAGTTTTCCTCCAATCTCTGCTTTCGTCGTAATATTGTCGCCTTGTCTGCGAACTATATTTTAAGAGGGTTTCACCGGCGCTGCAGGGTCTCCCAAATTGATTGAAAGGACTCGTAATTTCTATTCAGAACTTCGGGGCCGGCTAATGAATGTTGCTTTGCAGCTCACATGGCTTCAGAAGATTCGTAGAAAACACTCATTCAAATATCAAAGTACCAAATACAAAGTAGATGTGAATAAATACGCATGGTCAAGACATTGATCTATACCCAACGTAAACGTCCAGTGCACATAGATGTCCAAAAACTAGAACTAATGAGAGCAACGAACAATGTCTATAGCCTCTGTGGCTTCGAGAACAAGAAGTCGACTAACTTATGAGAAGTTACCTTACCAGATCTCCATGCATTTGTAAGTAAACCCATTTAGTGTTTCTAGCCACGCATTGTTAACCGATTAAATTACCTTCAATCCATCGACCTCGTAAAATCCGAAGAAAATGGACCTATATGACGTAAAATATGTGAATTTGATGTAATCGTCATAGTATCGTATACTTGTTTGAGCATTTGGATGGCCCGTACTCACTGGTTGTGCGGACCCTAGAAAAACTTCCATTTCTTCGAAATCTTGCTAGCTTAGCCATTGTGATTCCATGGAGTCCCGAGATCAACCAGGCCAAGGTCTGTCCCACGTCGTCACCACCACAGGCAGTAGGCGTCCTTGTGGATCAGGAGATTTGCCACCACGCGAGTAGTTTAGTACCAGGACGGTGGTGGATCCTGGCATTGGTTTACTGCCGAGTTTCCTGATGGAAAAGCCGGACTCCTTCACGGCTTGGAAGACCCTGCTGGGCGATGAACCCCTTGTTGTACATCGCAGCCCTGCACCCAGGAACACCTCCCGGCCACGATGAGGCGGTAAACCGTTGGGAGGCATAGTATAGTATAGCAAACAACAACTGCAAGCACAAAACCGAACAGCTTCAAAGATGTTTGTTGAGACTAACGAATGAAGGATGATATGATGCCAACATGGTATGAAAAGACAAGCAATATTTGTGAATAAGTAGCCACTAGAAACGAAATTTCTCAAGGGTTTAGGATAGACAAACCGTACTCTTGAAGGGTTAATATAAAATTTTTCAATAATTACTTATTATTAGTAAGATATATTAACCAACGAAACCCATCCAAATGTACAAAGAAAAAAGGTCATACTTCAAGAACGATAAAAGCGTACCGCATATCTGATCATTTCCGCAATGTGTTGATTAATAAGGATGATAGCAATGTCATCTCTGGTAACGAACGATTTGAAAGCATCTTCAATCTCTTGTATACCAGTCTGCTTGTCAACAATTAAGTAATTAGGCTTCCGAGCCTGAAAAGTAACAACATACTGGAGAAAAAGATTGGGCAAGGAATAAGTGTTGTACACAAAGTAAACAAGAACGACAGACAGACCTAAAAAGCGTTAACTAAAAGACTCGAAAACTTTTCTCAAAAATTCAAAGACAGAAAAGACTGGTAGACATGATGTTCTACTTCAAGTGTATGGGATATTTATTTGAAAAAAAATGGGCACGCACAATAAGTGCTTAGCACCAAATCCTGATACCGACGGAAAATTCGTGAAACTCATATCTCTAACGTGTTCTACACCTTGCTTTAAAAGAACCAAAAACTTGCTGAAAAGCAAGATTTCATTTCCTGGCATTTTAGTCGTAACCTTTACTCACTTGCAGACGAATAGAAGTCAAAATATATCGTAAAAACTTCCTTTATAACGAGGACAAAGAAAAACTGAGAGAACAAGCATGAAAGCGGACATTTAGAAAAAGTAACCTTATTCAGCTCACCAACACCTCCAAGAAGAAATCCAACAACAGTATCCTCGTCTCCAATAACAGCAAGAATCTTTCCCCTTGCAGCAGCAGCCATCACTGAAGAAATAATGGCTCGATTGGAATCAGTCCTTAAAAAACGAGAAGGAAGAGACCGAAATCACGATGAATATAATCGTCAAAACTTTGGAAGAAGCAAAGTGAAGATGAAGAAGAGAGCACATACCGTCACCATATAACTCCTTAACAAATTGAACAAGTTTGATCGAATTGAAGATGAAAGATCACGGCGCCGCATCAGCTGCTCCATCGACCAATTTGCAGTTTTCGCTAAAGGACCCACAAAACGTCGACAAACTCGTCCACTTCGCATTTGTATTTTGCCCGCCCATAAAGAGGTCGAATTTGTGGAAATATTTTGGCACGTAAAATGTGGAAATTACTTCGATTCAGGTAGATTTGCTGACTTATTGAGCCTCTTAAGGTCGTTTCTACATGGCTTTTTGAAGCTTTTTTTTCTGGGGAGTTAAATGCGTCTTCGTTTAAAGCGAACTCAGATGGATAAGTAGTATGGCTTCCTGGAAATTAATATTCAATGATTTGAATAAAACGATGACTTTCATACATCCTCATTAAATCGTATACAGCATGCTAGGAATCGTTTTTCAAGGATCGATCTACGGATAATGGAGGATGAAGTGCTGCGCGTTGGTCAGTATCCCTCAAAAATGATCGGAGGCTCTCTGCAATACACATGAGATCGATCCCCGTTTCCATAGCCCACCAAGGACAGATTATGACATTTACTTTTTTCTACCATTAGAAGAAAACGTTGGCGAACCCCGGAATGCAACGAGATGAATGCAACTGTTCTTGGATGTCGCCACTCTCCCTGTAGTCAGTTATGGGCTGGTTGGATAAAAAAGCAACATGAAGAAATATGGTAAATGTTAAGAATTCTATCCAGGATGGTGACAGGAGAAGGCTGGACAAAGAAGTCACTGTCATTTTCGTAGGCAAGTATGGTCATTTATAAAATATCACTTATTATGGTAATTATATGTTATTGAGATACTGACAGGAGATAGACACGAATAATGGGAAGTATACTTGAGCAGACAGATTACTTGTTTTCATGTCTTATGCACGTTCCATCACTTCTTGTTGTTTCGATGTTGTACAACCATCCCTCATAAAGGTGGCCACATTTGGCTCTGGCCTTGGCTGCTGTTTGAGGATTCGAAAGTTGGTTGTAGCTTTGAACAAAGCTTGTTAGCGCGTGGAACGAATTTGCCCGCATATCTTTTCTATCGTCTCCATCGAAGAGGTCTTCCTTCTTTTGTTATCTATTGTAATGCTTTTCTCGTTCATCTAACGTCTTCCGTTTCACAATGTCTACTCACTTAAAACATACAGCATTGAACCTCGAAGATAGGATATTCTTCGGAAATACTGTGAAGACTAGATTGGTGGTGAGAGCGCCGGTTCATCTTCAAAAGACGTTTCTCAAGTGGCAAGTTCATTGTGCATGGCTTTTTCGATGTGGTTGAAGTATCAGCTCAAGTTCCTGCTACATGTAGAACTGCTGCGTGATCAGCAAGCTGAGCACTGATTGGCCTGTGTCAGAAGCTCAAGCGTAGCTTATGGGGCTTGTTCTCTTGTAGCGAGTTCTTTTCTCAAGTAGTTATACACATCCATTGCACGTCATAGGTATGCGTGGGATATGGTCTTCTCAGATGATGATTTACCCAGAATACTCTTTTCGCTTTACACTTGGCCATATTCATTAACTACCATTGTTTCGTAGTCCGTTTTTTTTGCCCTGTTGAGCTTAGTAAGCATGTTTTCTGTTTCTACGTGACTGATCGAAAAGAGTACAGTGTCGTAGGCAAAACGAAAGTTTGAGGGAAATTGTCCATCAATGTGCTATCGCTATGCTACGAAGTCGACAAACTGATCTCATCAGTGGTCAGCAAGTTGTATATCATTGGGTAGAACATGAAAACGCACACCTGGCAGCTGTAGTCAGACGGCAGTCGGTATTGGCGTAGTTCTATTGTCTCGTCATATTCTCTTGCCAGTCGGAAATAGTTAATGGTCGGTGAAGGAGCTGGATCGCTTTAGCACAGTGATTTTTGGAGTCGGGCAGGGTTTTATAAAGAACGTGTAAAACTTGGATAACTAAGACGGAAAAGATAACGCTACTTTCCAGACTATTAAAGACTGTCCCGTTCTGAACGAAGGTAGGACAAGCTCTGTAAGATGATCTTCCCTGCAGATCTGCAGAGTGTTTTTTGTTACCATGAATTTGGATCTTCTGCGAAATCCAGCCTGTTCTATAGGTTGTACTTCATTCAAGTTCTTCGAGGTATCACCTTAACACAATCCTTGTGAAAAGCTTGTAGCACACACCCAATAAGTAACTTCGAATCTATTAACGAACGGTCTTCTTAACGCTCGTTTTTGGGCAACAAGCAATCACCTGAAGTCTTCCAGTTTCTGGGTATCTGTTCCATATGCAGATATAACGTTGTGTACTTTGCAGGAATGTAGTACAGACGATGACCACCAGATTGTAAAAGATCTGCTGGAATGCTATCTAGTGGTGATTCACTAAGGATCCTTCTGTGTATGTAATTGACACGGTTATATGTCTCATAGTGCATCGGTATTCAGAGAGTGTTAGTGTATGAAAACGGTTTAGATGTTTTCATAGAATCAAAAATCTTTCTGTAGAAGTTGCAACTCTTACTTACAACCATCAATTTCGTCTAAGACTTGCAATTCCTACTTACTGTTGTTACATAAATTTGCATTTCTTACATCAAATCCTTTATTTGAAAACGCACTTCGCAGCAAAGTTGTATAATTTATGTATGTAGGAACTTGAGGGAAAGGCGAAATGAAGGAAACGCATGACGTGTTGGCGAAGGTGTTAGCCTCGGTAACGGTAATAGCGTGTTCGATCCCCACTGCGGACACACGCGGTCCGTAGTTTTGAAATATCTCAGCATCATTGTGGTTGCATTTCACATAGTACGATGCCATGAAAAATTGTAGTAGGCAGTGAATAAAAGTTAACATCTATGTAGATATTTCGCTGTAGCATCAACGGATTCGAGTTTCCAATATAATGCACGTGGACATCCATCTTGACATCATTCGACGAAATTTTTCGCTCTACCTCAATACAGTTGTGTTCATGCCATTGTATCCTTAAAAAGCTTTCACTTATTGATGGTTTCAATAATCTGTTGTTTTAATGAGCTGAGGAAAAAGGTCTCTTATGAATTGTGGACGTTGTTATAATGTCACTGTTGCCTTTCCACTTCAACACCGTTATACTGCTTGGATTATGTTGTACTGTTCACTGCCCGCTTTCCACATTTCAAGAGATGGACCTACATCGGAAGTACTTTTCTGTTCTTTCTACAGGTGTCAGCGAAGTGGATCTTCCATGCATTAAGATCACAGCTAAGCGAAGGCTGTACTAATTATCAGCATAAAGGTCCCTTCCTTCCTCTATTAAGCAATTCGTACAAAAGCTTCATAACTATCCAGCCAGTTGTGGGAAGTTTGATGCCGGTGTACAGCAGAATTCTACCTCTGGTCACCTTTGCTGCATAATTTGAATAGTTTGACTACGTAGTTCATAGGACATACTGGCATAATTTTAAATGGTATGACGGATTCGTTGATGCGTACATCATGTTTTCCACATCCGTATATTCTACTAAAATTCTTATTGATAAGTTCGATCAGTGGTCGACCCCGTACAGCTTGCGTCGTCGGTAAGCTATGTCTTTGTTATCAAGAGAAAGGCTATCCTGCGAAGGAAGAAATCCTATGTCCAGTCAGATTGACTATCATCAAAGGTTTCGAGGCAGTGCAACCAACTATCATTAACTTCGTCATCAACATTCTTCTTTCTCCCGTTCACTTTCTTCTTGGTCTCCGGTGAGAAATGCAGTGGATTCCACATTTCCAGGTCCTTTATTTCACTTCCGATGCGCAATTCATCACTATTGCATACTCTTACATGTCGATCTCTATTCTTAGTGATAGAGCGACGTCTGTTCTTTAAGCCAACTATGTTTTCAACTCCTTAATGCCTCTAATTGTCGAAAACTGCCTGCACTCGTTGAAAAACCACTACTATCCAGTGTGTGGAGCATGTAAGGTCTTATTCTCGAACAGTAAGTGACTGCTACTTCAATTATAGTCGTATATTGAGTCACGCTAACCATGTGAGATGGACTGGAATACATTAAATATAAAGGATAAAAGGACAAAGCTCTCAGCGTTAATCAATCCCTGAGAGATGCGCCATGCATTCGACTTCATTACTCATCGTTTGGAGGTGATTGCATGCATATCTGGCCTTTACAATGATCCGAAGTGACCTATCGGTGTGTCGAGCCAGTGCTGCTATCTTTCTAGACAACTTTGATACCAATTTGCCAACCCCGAAGGATGGAAGGCTTGATTGGTCCGGAGCGCGGGGATCGATCCTGCTTGTGTGTTGCAGGGCGCTTCCGACCACGGCGCCCCACCGCGCCCTGTTACATTAGATATAGTTTTAAAAGCCCTCCACAATATTAACACCGTCGTGTTTACACAGTAGATCATTGTAAGAAACAGTTAAGACTGACGCATGTTCAAATAGAACGATTTTTGTGTGTACGATATAAATATATATATATATTTATATATTGAATACGTAAATATAATATGCATGTATCTCGAATAAATTGGCCGCTCTTTGACAATATTTTCAATAATTGCTAAAGCTTTTTCGGGTGCTCGGGCCAACGAGGTCCTTGCTCTGCGTTTCTCTTAGTTAGTTTTTCTTTCTACCAATGCCATTAGCAGTCAGTTCCGTGAACGGGACTGATCTGGGGATGCAAATGTGGGCAGGACTAAGGTGGGGAGAAGGAGGGAGAGGTGGGTGCCCGTGCAACGAAATCGCTCAAAAACCTTGTTTAAGTGAGAAAAGTCGAAAAAAAAAATCGGCGAAATTCCAGCGCGTGACAACAGTGGCGTCGCGGAGGACCAGGCGAGACGGCCAAGGCAGGACCGCATGTATGCGTCCGTAAC